GTCTGTTTCTCCCCTCATTTCTGCTAATTATTGCTTCATGTATTTTGAAGCTCTGTTCTTAATATATTTATCTATGTTACATTTTCCTAATGAACTGGCTCTTGAATTGTTGTGAAATGTCCTTCTTTATTATTGGTAATGCTCCTTGTCTTGCTATCAACTTTATTTGAAATTAATATAGACATACCAGCTTTTTTTATGGTTTTCCCTCGTTTCGTTTCAACCTATCTGTATCTTGTATTTAAAGTTTGTCTCTTTTAGACAACACATTCTTTGGTCCTGAATTTTTATGTATTGTAATAGTCTCTGCCTCTTAAGTGGTGTGTTCAGTTCACTGGCATAAGTAATTGGTATGACTGGATTTATTTTTTAGTGTTTTAATTTATTTTTTTAAGTATAGTTGGCATACAATATTATATTAGTTTCCGGTGCACAATATTGTAATTCGACATTTATATATGTACTTTATAATGTGATCAACACATTAAGTCTAGTAATGATCTGTTACCATGAAAACTTATCACAGTATCACAGACTGCACTCCCTTTCACCCATTCTCCACCCCCATTTCCTCTGACAGCCATCAGTTTGACCTCTGTTTCTATGAGCCTGTTTTTGTTATGTTTTGCTTGTTTGTTTCTCTTTAGATTTCACATATAAGTGAAATGATACTGTATTTGCCTTTCTCTGTCTGAATTGTTTCACTTAGCGTTATACCCTGTAGGTCCTCCATATTTTTGCAAATGGCAAGATTTCATTTTTTTTAATTGCTGAGTAATATTCCATTGTGTATGTACACTACATCTTCATTATGCATTCATCTATTGATAGACATTTAGGTTGTTTCCATATCTTGGCTATTGTAAATAATGCTGCAATGAATATATGGATGCGTATGTCTTTTCAAATTAGTGTTTTGGGTTTCTTCAGATAAATACCCAGAAGTGGTCCTTCTTTGTCTTTTGTTATAGCCTTTGTTTTAAAGTCTATTTTGTCTGGTGTAAGTATTGCTACTCCAGCTTTTTGTTTTTGTTTTTGTTTCCAGTTTCATGAAATATCTTTTTACATCCCTTCACTTTCAGTCGATGTCTCTTTTGATCTGAAGTGAGTCTCTAGTAGGCAGCATATATAAGGGTTTTTTTTTCGTTTTCTCCATTCAGCCACCCTATGTTTTTATTAGAGCATTTAATCCATTTACATTTAAAGTAATTGTTGATAGATATGTGTTATTGCCATTTTATTCATATATATATATTAACCTTAAGTCCCTGTAACATTCCTTGTAATATTGATTTGGTGGTGAACTCCTTTATCTTTTTCTTGTCTGGGATGCTGTTTGTCTGACCTTTGATTCTAAATTATAGCTTTGCTGGGTAAAGTAATCTTGGTTGTAGAGCTTTGCTTTTCATCACTTTGAATATTTCATACTAATTCATCTGGCCTGCAAAGTTTCTGTTGAGAAATCAGCCAACAGTCTTATGGGAGCTCGCTTATAGGTAACTGACTGCTTTTCTCTTGCTGCTTTTAAGATTCTCTGTTTGTCTTTAATATTTGGCAATTTAGTTATGATATATCTTGGAGTTGGCCTGTTTGGCTTCATCTTGTTTGGGATTCTCTGTGCTACCTGGGCTTGTGTGTCTATTTTCTTCTCCAGGTTATGGAAGTTTTGTGTAATTATTTCTTCAAATAGGTTTTCAATTCCCTGGTCTCTCTATTCTCCTTCTTGTACCTCTGTGATGTGAATGTCTGTATACTTGGTGTTGTCTTTTAAATTGTTCTTTGTAGTGTTTTTTTCTTAGAGGTTGTTTTGGTGTCACAATATACATCCTTAACTTTTCCCATTATATTTAAAGTTAAAATTGTACTGTCTTATGTAAAATGTAAGAACATAGAATCACATAGGTTTTTCCCCCTCTTATATGCTGTAGTTATTATATTATTATGTTAGAAACCCTGTAATACAGTATTTTAACTCTTCTTTTAAAAATATGATTTATACTATGCAAGATAAGAGGGAAAAATTGCCTTTTATACTTATCCAGCTACTTAACCATATCTGCAGTTCTTCCTTCTTACCTGACTAGTCAGCTTTCTATTTGTCAGTATCATTTTCCATCACCTGCAGAATTTCCTTTAGCCCAGACGTCATCAAACTATAGGAGCTCCTGGACCAAATCTGGCCCACCACCTGTTTTGTAAATAAAGCTTTGTTGGCACACTGCTATGCTCATTTGTTTTATATATTTTGTATGGCTGCTTTTGCACTATAATAACAGAATTGAATAGCTATGACAGAGATCGCAAAGCCTGACATATTTACTATTTGTCTATTTTTAAAAAAGTTTGCCAGTCTCTGCTTTAATATATCTTCTACTGTATGTCTGCTGGCAGCTAATTCTAGTTTTTAGTATCTAAAAATAGTTTTATTTTACCTTTATTCTTTTTTGAGATATAATTGATATATAACATTATATTAGTTTCAGGTATACAACATAATGATTCAATATTTGTCTGTCTTGTGAAGTGATCACCACATTAGTTAACATCCATTACCACACAAAGTTACAAATTTTTTTCTTGTTATGAGAATTTTTAAGATGTACTGTCTTAGCAACTTTCAAATATACAATACAGTATTAATAAGTGTAATTATCATGCTGTACATTACATTCCCAGGACTTACTTAATTTGTACCTGAAAGTTTGTACCTTTGACCACCTTCACCCATTTCACCCACACTTCACTGCCCACTTCTGGCAAAAACCAGTTTGTTCTCCATGTCTGAGTTCTTTTTTTTTTAAATTTTATTTTTTTGTTTTTAGTTTCCACCTATAACAGATTATACAGCATATGTCTCTGACTTATTTCACTTAGTCTAATGCCTTCTAAGTCCATCCATGTTGTCACACAAATGGCAAGATTTCTTGCCTGATTTATGGCTGAATAATATTTCATTGTATATATTTCATTTTTTTTATCCATTCATTCCTCAGTGGGCATATAGGTTGTTCCCATATCTTGATTATTGTGAATAATGCTACTGTGATCTTGGGGGTACATATTATCTTTTCCAGTTAATGTTTTTGTTTTCTTTGAATAAATACCCAGAAATGGAATTGCTGAATTAGATGGTAGTTCTATTTTTACTTTTTTGAGGAAACTTCATGCTGTTTTCTATAGTGGCTGTAACCAGGTTACATCCCCATCAACAGCACATAAGTGTTCCCTTTTCTCCACATCCTTGCCAACACTTATTGTTTGTTGATTTATTGATGATAGCTATTCTGATAAGAATGAGGTGATACCTCATTGTGGTTTTGATTTGTATTTCCATGATTAGTGACATTGAGCAGCTTTTCACGAACCTGTTGCCATCTTTATGTCTTCTTTGAAAAAATGTGCAGATCCTCTTCCTGTTTATTAATTGGAGTGTTTGGTTTTTTTGTTATTGAATTGTATGAGCTCTTTATATATTTTGGATATTAACCTCTTATCAGATACATGGCTTTCATATATTTTCTCCCATTTTGTAGGATACCATTTCATTTTGTTTATTGTTTATTTTGCTGTGCAGTAGCTTTCAGTTCGATGGAGTTCTACATGTTGATTTTTGCTTTTGTTGCTTCTGTCATATCCAAAAAATCATTGCTAAGACCAAATGTCAAGGACCTTTTTTCCTATGTTTTCTTCTGGGAGTTTGACAGTTTCAGGTCTTATGTTTAAGTCTCTAATCCATTTTGAGTTAATTATTGTGAGTGGTGTGACATAAGTGTCCAGTTTCATTCTTCTGCATGTGGTCAATCCAGTTTTCCTAATGCCATTTATTGAAGAAACTACCCTTTCCCCATTGAATATTCTTGGCTACGTTTTCAAATGTTAGTTGACTATGTATGGGAGCTTATTTCTGGGCTCTCTATTCTGTTCAGTGGTTTATGGTCTATTTTATGCCATTGCCATCCTTTTTTGGCTACTATAGCTTTGTAGTTTGCAATCAGAAAGTGTGATGCCTCCAGCTTTGTTGTTTCTCAAGATTGCTTTGGGTATTTGGGATCTTGTGTGGTTCCATACAAATTTTGGATTTTTTTTCTATTTCTGTGAAAAATGCCATTGGAATTTTGGTAAGGATTGACCTCACTAATTTCAATATGCTAAGCTAAATCTCTGTGTTTCTTTAGCATAATTACTAGGAATATAACTTGCTTACAAAAATAAATAAATTTCAAATTTTGGTACAATTGATTTGGAATTCCTATTACAGGATTTTTTTTTTGGAGGGGGGGAGATATATGCATTTGACAGGTCTTCTTTACCAAGCTTGTTAAGGTAGCTTTCTTGAGAGCTTGCTTGTTCTTTTCCCTAAGCCTGAAATTGGCCCTTGATTAGAAACATTCATAGATTCTATGAACATTTTATCTTTATAAATACTTAGATTACTTTGTTGTCTTAATAAGTACTATTAAAAATGGAAAAATAACAGACGAAAGGTAGGGAATTTACATGATATCACAAAACTTTTCTGATAATTGTTCAAGCAAGGGAGTATTTCTCATTGCTGTCATTTGTGCACTTATAGGTTGATTGGAGGGAAAGGTGACTGACTGGAAACTAGAGGGATACTTAAAAAACATTTTTTCTTAGTATCATAAGTGCTTTAGGTGGCCAGTGACTAGAGAGTTCACTGTGGTGTGCTCAAGAGCAGGGCTGTCAGAAACGATTGTGATGGATTTCATCGTAAATATGTTCAGTGTTTTGAGGCTCGTCTGGGTCAATAATTTAAAATGTTTCGTAAGGCAGTAAATAAGCAAGGAATCAGAAGTACACTTCTGATATGGGACAGATGCTTAGAAAATAAGTAAGGATTTGCAATACAGTTATTTCCTTAAAGGTGATAGTTAAGCTAAGAATAGGAGGAGGAGAACGGGTGTAAAAGGAAGTACAGAGGTCTGAGAATATCAGATAACAAATTATATAGTTTCTCATTATGTCTTTGTTTTACCCAGAACTTTTTAGAAAAATCAACTGAAAGAGAAACTCGCCAGGAATATGCTCTGGCTATGATTCAGTGCAAAGTTCTGAAACAGTTGGAGAACTTGGAACAACAAAAGTATGATGATGAAGATATCAGCGAAGATATAAAATTTCTTTTGGAAAAACTTGGTGAGAGTGTCCAGGATCTTAGGTTTGTATTCTTTTTATTTTTTTTAATATTTTTTTATTTTTCAATTACGGTTGTCATACAATATTGTATTAGTTTCAGTTGTGCAACATAGTAATTAGACATTGATATAACTTATGAACTGATGGTCCCGATAAATCCAGTACCCTTCTAACACCATACAGAATTATTACAACACTGTTATATTCCCCATTCTGTACTCCACATGATTATCTTGTAACTACCAATTTGAACCTCTTAATCCCCTGCCCCCTTCGCCCATGCTCCTACCCCCCTCATCTGGCAACCATCAAAATGCTCTCTGTATCTATGAGCTTGTTTCTGTTTTGTTGCTCATTTATCCTGTTCTCTAGATTCCACATATAAGTGAAATCATATGACATTAGCCTTTCTCTGTCTGACATATTCCACTCAAGCACAGTGCCATCTAGGTCCATCCATGTTGTTGCAGTTGGCAAGATTTCATTCTTTTTTATTGCTGAGTAATATTCTATTGTTTATATGTACCACCTCTTCTTTATTCATCCATTGACAGACACCTGGGTTGACTCTATATCTTGGCTATTGTAAATAATGCTGCGGTGAACATATGGATACATATGTCCCTTCGAAGTACTATTTTGGGTTTCTTCAAATAAATACCCAGAACTGGAATGATGGTCTCCTGTTACAGTGTTTGTTTTAAAGTCTATTTTGTCTAGTATAAGTATTGCTACTGCAGGTTTTTTTTGGTTTTGTTTTCATTTCAATTTTCATGAGATATCTTTTTCCCAACTCTTTACTTTCAGTCTATGTTTCTTTTGATCTGAAGTCAATATCTTGTAGGCAGCATATGTAAGTTTTGTTTCCATTCAGCCAACCTATGTCTTTTGATTGGAGCATTTAATCCATTTACAGTTAAAGTAATTGTTTATTGATATATGTTATTGCTATTTTATTAATCATATTTTTTATTCCCCCTCACCCTCCTTCTTCTTCTTAAAGAAATCCCTTTAACATTTCTTGTAATACTGGTTTGGTTGTGATGAACTCATTTAGCTTTTTCTTGTCTGGGAAGCTCTTTACCTGTCCTTTAATTCTAAATGATAGTTTTGCTGGGTAGAGTAATCTTGGTTGTAAATCTTTTCTTTTCATCACTTTGAATATTTCATGACAATCCGTTCTGGCCTGCGAAGTTTCTCTTGAGAAATCAGCTGAGAGTCTTATGGGAGCTCCCTTGTAGGTAACCAACTGCTTTTCTCTGGCTTTTTTTAAGATTCTCTCTTTGTCTTTAACCTTTGGCATTTTAACTATGATGTGTCTTGGTGTTGGCCTGTTTGGCTTCATCTTCTTTGGGATTCTGTGTTCTACCTGGGCTTATATGTTATTTCCTTTTCCAGGTTAGGGAAGTTTTGTGTCATTATTTCTTAAATAGGCTTTCAATTCCTGCTATCTCTTCTCCTTCTGGCACCCCTATGCAAATGTAGATATGCTTGCTATTTTAATGTCCCAGAGGCCCCTTAAACTGTCCTTTTTTAAAATTATTTTTCTTTTTGCTGTTCTGTTTTCTGCTATCTTATCATCCAAGTTCCTGATACTATCCTCTGCTTCACCTAGTCTACTGTTGATTCCCTGTAAGAACTTTTCATTTTTGTTACTGTATTCTTCATTTCTGACTAGCTCTTTTTTATGTTTTCTATCTCCATTTTTATGTTTCCTATTTCATTGTTGAAGTTCATGAGAACATTGAGCACCCTCATAACCAATGTTTTGAACTCTGCATCTGGTAGATTGCTTGTTACCATTTTGTTTGGTTCTTTTTCTGAATCTTTGTTCTTTTCTTTCATTTGGGACACGTTTCTTTGTGTGCCCACTTTGGTTGCCTCCGTGTATTTGTTTCTATGTAATAGGTTGAGTTGCTATGTCTCCTGGTCATGGTAGAGTGGCCTTATGTTGTAGGTGTGCTGTGGAGCCCCGTGACACAGTCTCCCCGTTCACTTGAGCCAGGTGTTCCAGGTGTGTCCCTTGTATGGGTTGTGTGTACTCTCTTGTTGTATTTGAGCCTTGGTTTCTCTTTCCATATCAGTGGGAGAGATTGACCCTAATGTTTTCTAGTTGTGAAGAGTAGCCGTGACTACAGTGGAGGAAGTGTTTTGCAGGGGCTGACCCTACATATCAGGATTTGCTTTAGTAGGACTCTGGTGCCTGCTCAGTCTTCCCTTTGTGTGTGTTGTTTTTGGAGGTGGTTGGGTGGTACTCTGGTTGATCTGAAGCTGGCCATCAGGTGTGTGTGTTGGTTCTGGGGCCTTTTTGGAGGGGCTGTGGTGCAGGCCAAGGTCAGCTGCTACCTGTGTCCCACCCGGGGTCACTTGGTGTGAGTTAAAAAATGACTTATAGATGGTTGCCACTTGTGCTGCTTTTGGCGATGCTTGGGAGAGGTAAGCTACAAATCTAGTCAGGCTGCTGCTATTCCAGGCTTGGGGCTGCTTAGCAAGAGGTACAAAGCACGTTGAGGCCAGATGCTGCTTGTTTGGGGGTTTGTGAACCTTTGAGAGATTTTAGGAAAGACAGCAGCATGAGCCAAGACAGGCCCTTTGTATGGAAAAGCCACTGGAAGTGGCTTGGGTGTGCCTGCAACTTGGGGGTCAGGGTCTCAGGGAATTACCATGGCTATTGTGAATGGTGGTAGTCAAGTTAATGGTGACTCAGATGTGGTGCCTGCCTACATCTGCACACTTGACCAGGGAAGGGCTCAACACAAGAACAGTGGCTTCTGCCAGCACTTGTGTGTGGGACAAAGCTGCCACTCTAGCCATCACCCTGCAACCAGACAATTTAATTTCTCCCTGTATGTATTGGGACCCTCTCGAGCTACTGTCCCAGTTCCGGAGCTCCAGGTGCCAACCCCTTAAGAGGAGCACTTGGGACTCCAGCCGCCCTCTGTCTCACTCAGCCACAATCTCTGCTGGTTTTCACAGCCAGAAGTTTGAGGCCTTTTCTCCCTGGCACGGGAACCCTGGATTGAGCAGCCTGGTGTGCGCCTGGGACCCTCCCTCCTCACGGAGCAACCTCTGCGGCTGGGGTATTCCTCCCAATTTTTTAACTGCTACTCATGGGCGTGGGACTAGTCAGTTCTGTGTCTCTGCTTCTAACAGTCTTGACGTGGCTTCTTCTTTGTCCTTAGTTATAGAACTTCAGTTCAGGTAGTCTTCTAGTTGGTCTCAATGATGGTTGTTCTGTAATTTAGTTGTAATTTTGAGGTCATGAGAGGAGGAAAGGACATTGTTTACCTACTTTGCCATCTTGACTGGAACTCTTGTATGTTCTTCTTTTTAGTTCACACAGGCTGGATATATTGGGCTTCATTTGACCTGTCTAGTATTTTAGGGAAATCTAAATTTGTTACTAAGTATAAACCCAAAAAATTGCACTAAAATGTTTTATCTTCTATTAAATATTGGAGGATATGGAAAAACTGGCTCAACACCATGGCAACAGTAGGTCAGTACTGTGTGTTATTTCTTCCCTTTTGGAGAGGTTCCCACCATTCTCTGTTTCTAATGTCTGTCTGACTGGCTGTACTACCACAGCTTGTTGGCACCACCACAGAACCCTTTGAGAATCTCCTCTGGTTTAGAATCTTTTTAAGCAGTAATAGTTGTTAATTTGTGGAAGAGGCTTGCTTATATATGGAAAGAGTGTTTCTTTCTGCTTTTTTGAAGTTCCTATTTTTATTTATTATAGTAAACATTATGCAAATGATATACATGTGGCAAAGAAAAAAAACAAAACCCTTACACTGTACAGAAGGGACTCCATGTCACTTCCACTATCTTTCCCACCTAGTCCCATCTCCCTTCCTCCTGGTTTATTGTGTGTGCTTCCAAAAAATCTCCTAGTCTCTTTTTACCTGGCATGTGCGCACATGTGCACGTACACACACACACACACACACACACACACACACACACACACAAATGGGCTTCTATATATTGTTCTGGACTTTTTTTTTCTTATTTGATAATATCTTCATGATCTTTCCGATTAACCCATGTATGTTTTATTTTTCAACTATTGATAACATTTTTTAAAGAAATTACTCCTTAGAAATAGGTCTTTGTAGGTGGATTGGGTTTGGGAGCTAGGCTGACTCCAGTTTGAATTGTTTGGTTACTTTCTCCACCTGTGGCCTTGAACAAGATCCCTGAATTTTTAAGTCTCAGTTTCCCTTTTTTTAGCAATACAAATTTAACCTTGTAGGATTTTTGTGAAGTTTTAAATGTCCAACAAATGCCTTCAGTATAGTATGTGTTCCAGAAGTGTATTTACCAGATAATTCAATGTAGCCTATAACCCCAATACCCAAAAACTTTTATGAGATGGGAGGTATCACCCATATCAGTGGTTTGTAATGGAGTTTTGTGGAGGGAGACAAATGATTTTTTGTCTTTCAAATATGAATAAGTTGATTTTAATATAATAAGCTAGCAATAGGCTTGCAGTTTTTATAAATTCTATTTTACTATATTTATTTTAAAATTTAGTTCCTCTGGAATAATTATTTAAGATCCTTTTTAAAAATAAATAATACTAGAAATAATTAGCATTCCAAATTATTTAATCCACATTAACCAATTAGTAGTTACTGATTTTTCATGTTGAATTTGGTATTTGAAAAATATTGCTATTTACATAAAACAAATAGGGATATAGCTGAAAGAGATTTGTCTCTGTTTTTGCTGTTATAGGTTTAGGATATTACTGTTGGCAATACTAATATACTTCTTATTCTAACTGGGCTTACGTTAAATTACTACTTTACTCAACAGGACACTGATCAGTTTAAATCCTGGTTATACTAAATTACCATTTGGTATTAAATGGCTACTTTTAAAAATTCTTACCTGAAAGAAAGTACAAGTATATCTTGTGACTATTTGTCCACTAGCTAAATGAATAATTAAGTAACTTGATACGTACTGAATGATTTTTGAATTAAAGTGCATTGCAGTTTTTTATATGTACACAGGCTTTTTTTGTGTTTAATTAGTCTATAGTGGATCAATTTATTATAGTCTCTTCACTGTTGGTAATCAACATTGTAAAATATTGTACTGATATGTGTGTTTTTGTTTTTGTCATGTAGTTTCCTAGTTTATGACCTTTATTGTATAATAGTAGTAGAACACAGTTTTATTTTATGTTCAAGTTATGTGTAATCTTACCTAAGTTTATATTAATGTATCTAGTGATCTGGCAAATACCGTATTTTAAGTGGTATGGTAGAAACTCTGCTAAATTATCCGATATTTTCCTGATATACATTTATTTATGTATATATTAAGGTAGGGATTTTGAAAGCAAGTGCTCCCTTGAATATCTCATGATGACCATTCACATTTGACAGGAGTATTGGATCTTAGTAGCTATCCTGAATAAATTTCACGTGATTTATAAAGCTTATTTAAGCTGTTTAAACTTTGTTTAATGGTCATTTGTTAATGTACATGGATGGTCAGTACTTTGTAGTTTAGATCATCAGTGAAGATGTTGTATTTTGCTTAATTTTGGAGGATCTCTCAGATTCTTATAAACTTGGGATTTTAAAAAATTTTTTGTAGCTCATTTGATGAATACAGTTCAGAACTTAAATCTGGAAGATTGGAATGGAGTCCTGTGCACAAATCTGAGAAATTTTGGAGAGAAAATGCTGTGAGGTTAAATGAGAAGAATTATGAGCTCTTGAAGTAAGTTTTAAATACCGGTTTACACTTTAAAACCTGTTGTTCCACATCCTCACAAACACATTTTTGTCACTCTTTAAATTTTAGATATTCCATGATTTTAATTTGTACTTTCTTGCTCACTAATGTGGTTGAATATCTTTTCATATGCTTATTAACTATTTGGATATCTTTTTTTCTAGAAGTGCCTGTTCAAGTATTTTATTTATTTATTTTTTAACTTAAAGGAGTTCTGCATGTATTCTGAACATGAGTTTTTTTGTATATATATTCATCACAACTATTTTTTCTTATTGTCACATGATGTTTCACGCTTTAATTTTAATGTAACTCATTTTATTAATCTTTTGCTTTATGGCTAGTGTTTTTTTGTGTCCTGGTTAGGAAGTTTTGCCTACCCAAGGTCATAAAGATACATGTCTGTGTTTTCTGCTGGAAGCTTTATTGTTTAACTTCTCACATTTAGAGCCCCATTTCTTCTGGAACTGGTTTTGGGAGAAGGCATAAAGTGTAGGGGTCAAGATTCAGTTTTTTATTATATGGATATTTTGAACCAGAAGCATTTATTGAAAATAACATTTTTCCCATGCTCTGCAGGGTTCCCTTTTTCATAAAAAGATAACCACATATGTGTAACTGTCTTTTTTTTTTTAATCGATGTATGTATCACGTACCACACAATTCACAATTTAAAGTGTACAAATCAGCAGGTTTTAGTATATTCTCAATATGTGTAACCATCAACACAGTCAACTTTGGAACATTTTCTTTACTTCAAAAAGAAACCTCGAATTTTTTAGTTGTCACTTCTTTACCCATCCACCCAGCCCTAAGCAACCACTAATTTACCATATTTCCCCATGTATAAGACACACTCTTTTCGAAAAATTTGGGGTCTAAAAACTGGATGCATCTTATACAGTGGTTGTATGAGCGCAAAAACAAGTGTGAAAAAAGTGGGAAATGCAAGTAAAAAAAATCTACAACCACTGTATAAGATGCACCCAATTTTTAGACCCCAAATTTTTCGAAAAAGGGTGCGTCTTGTACATGGGGAAATACGGTACTTTCTGTCACTATGGATTTGCCTATTATGCAAATTTCACATGAATGGAATCATATAATATTAGTTCTTTTGTTTCATTTACTATAATGTGTTCAAGGTTCATTTATATTGTAGCACTTATCAGTACTTTATTCTTTTTTATGGTTGAGTAATATTCAATTATATATCACATTTTTTTTATCAACTCATAAGTCAAAGGACATTGGGTTATTATGGAAAATGTTGGTGATAGACATTTGTGTACAAGTTTTTGTGTGAATGTATGTTTTTATTTCTTTATTTTAAAGATTTTATTGGGGAATTGGGGGAGGGGAACAGCGTTGGGGAATCCAGGAAGGGTAACAAACAAGTTGTTGTCCTTTTTGTTCTTCAGTCTAGTTGTGGAGGACGTCACTTTATTGACCCACGATGGTATTATCATTGCGCTCTTCCTGGGTGAGGCAGATCAGTCTCCGGTCACTGGATGGCTGCTCACAGCAGCTCTTGGCAGCTCACGCTGGCTGCTGGCCACTTAAGCCAGCTGCCAGCCACTTATGGTAGCCTCACTGCTGCCTACGCCATCACTGTAGCCCAGCTCCAGGTCGAGCTGTTGTTTACCATCTTAGCTGTAGAGGGCACAGCATCGCTGGCCCTCATATGGGATCTGAACCAGGGCCCTGTTGCTCAGAGCTGGTGTCCCAAGCCAACTCTTAACGAATGCGCCACTCGGCCAGCCCTGTTTTTATTTTTCTTTATTGAGTAGATACCCAAGAGTAGAATTGCTGAATCATACGGTAACTTTATGTTTAAACATTTGAGGAACTGATAGACTGTTTTCCAAAGTGGCTGAACAATTTTATATTCCCACCAGCAGTGTGTGAGGGTTCTGATTTCTGCATATCCTTGTCAACACGTGTTATTGTCTGACTTTTTGATTCTAGCAATCTTAGTGAATGTGAAGTAATATCTCATTGTGGCTTTGGTTTGTATTTCCTTGATGACTAATGAATTCAAGCATCTGTTTATGTGCTTATTCACCATTTTATATCTTCTTTAAAGAAATGTCTATTCAGATTCTTGGTTCATTTTTTTAAGTGGTTTGTCTTTTTATTATTTAGTTGTAAGAGTTTTTTATGTAGTTTGTATACAAGTCTCTCATCTGATACACGATGAGCAGATGTTGTCTCTTTTTTTTGTTATCTTTTTACTTTCTTGGTAGTGTCCTTTGAAGTACAGACATTTTAAAATTTTGATGAAGTCCAATTTATTTATTTATTTTTGTTTTTTCATGCTTTTTGTGTTAAACCTAAGAATTCATTGACAAAACTAAGGTTATGAAGATTTACTCTTATGTGTTCTGTAATATTTTTATAATTTTAACACTTACATTTAGATCTTTGATCGGTTTTGTGAGGTAAGGGTCCAACTTCATTTTTTATTTATTTATTTTTTTAGCTGAGCCATCCTGCCACCTGATGGCAGCTCAGCAGCTGCTCAGCTCGGGCCAGGACTCGAACCGCTGTTGCTCAGAGCTCAAACTCTTGAGCGAGCTCTTAACCAACTGAGCCACTCGGCCGGCCCTCATTTTTTTTTTTTTTTTTACTTATGGCTATCCATTTGTCCTAGTAACATTTGTTGAAAAGAGTATTCTTTCCTCCATTGAATTGTCTTGGTATTCTTACTGAAAATCAGTTGACTATAGACACATGGGTTTGTTTCTGGACTCTCAATTCTATTCAAGTCTATATAACTATCCACATTCAAGTCTATATAACTATCAACACAGTACCACACTGTGTTGATTACTGTTGCTTTATAGTATGTTTTGAAATCTAGAAGTGTGCATCCCCTACTTGTTCTTTTTTTGTGAGTGTGTCTTAATTTATTTAATCAGTCTCTTATTGATGCCATATCTTGCTGTTACAATGTAAGCATTACTATATATACACCTTACTGTAACTTTTAAAAATTAATGGACTTTAATTTTTAGAATAATTTTAGGTTTATAGAAAAATTGAGGAGAAAGGACATAGAATTCTCATATATCCTCTGTTTCCCCACCACAAACAGTTTCCCCTATTTTTAACATCTTGCCTTAGTGCTTAGTGTGGTGCATTTGTTACAATTGATGAACCAATATTTATACATTATTTGTAAATGAAGTTCATAGTTTACATTAAGGTTCATGCTTTCTGTTGTACAGTTCATTCTGGATTTTGACAAATGCATAATATTACGTATCACCCATTACAGTATGATGCAAAATAGTTTCACTGCCCTAAAAATTCCCTATATTTCACCTATTTATTTCTCCCTTTCTGCTGCTCCCTGAACCCCAGCAATCTCTGATCTTTTTACTATTTCTATATTTTTGCCCTGTTCAGAATGTCAAACAGTTGAAATCAAACAGTATATAACCTTTTTAGACTGCATTCTTTCCCTTAGCAATATGCATTTAAAGTTCCTCCATGTTTTTTTGTGGCTTGATAACTCATTTCTTTTTATCTATCACTGAATATTCTATTCTATGACTGTATCATAGTTTGTTTATCCATTGAAGCATATCTTCATTGCTTCAAAGTGTGGCAGTTATGAATAAAGTTGATATAAATGTCCATGTACAGGATTTTGTATGGACAAGTTTTCAAATCATTTGGGTAAATATCATGGTAGCTTGATTGCTGGATTATATGATAAAATAATGTTTAGTTTTGTAATAAACTGCTGAACTGTCTTCCAAAGTGACTGTACTGTTTTGCATTCTCTCTAGCAATGAATGAGAGTACCTGTTGTCAGTGTTCAGGATTTTGGCCATTCTAATAGGAGTGTAGTGGTATCTCATTGTTTTAATTTGCATTTTCCTGATACATCATGTTGATCATATTTTCATATGTTTATTTGCCATCTGTTTATCTCTTTTGGTGAGGTGTCTGTTCAGGTCTTTTAACAACTTTTAAATTGTGTCATTTATTTATTGTTGAATTTTAAGAGAGCTTTGTGTATTTTGGATAGAGGTCCTTTATTAGATATGTTCTTTGCAAATATATTCTCCCCATCTCTGGCTTTTCAATCTTTTTATAGTGTGTTGCAAACCAGAAGCTTTAAATTTTAATGAAGTCCAACTTATCAGTGTTTTATTTCACAGATTACACTTTGTTGTTGTATCCAAAAAATCATTGCCATACCCAAGGTTGCCTAGATTTTTTCCTCTTTAGAATCAGCTTCTTGATAGCCACAACATAACTTGCTTGGATTTTGATTGGAATTGCATTGAATCTATCTATATATGAAGTTGAGAGAAACTGACATCAATATGGAATCTGTCTCCATTTATTTAATTTTTCTTCGATTTCTTTCATCAGAATTTTTTAGTTTTCCTCATGTAGATTTTGTACATATTTTGTTAGATTTATACCTAAGTATTTCATTTTTGGGGAGTGCTAAATAAATGGTATGTTTTAAATTTCAATTTTTATTTGTTCATTCTGGTAATGTAAGAAAGCGTTCAAATTTTGTATATTAACCACATATCCTACAACCTTGTTATAACTGCTTATTAATTCCAGGAATTTTAAAATTAATTCTTTTGAATTTTTACTTAGACCATGATGTCATCTGTAAATACACGTTTATTTCTTCCTTCCCAATCTATGTCTTTTCTTTTCTTTTCTTTTCTTGTCTTATTGCATCAGTGAGTCCTTCCAGTATGTGTTGAGGAGTGGTGAGGAGACATTCTTGCCTTGTTCTGATCTTACAGGAAAACTTCTGGTTTCTCATCATTAAGTTTGATGTTAGCTGTTAGGTTTTTTGTAAATGTTCTTTATCAAGGTGAGAAAGTTCTATTTTTTGCTGGGAGTTTTTTTTTTTAATCATTAATGGGTATTGAATTTTGTCAAATGATTTTTCTGTACCTATTGATATGATCATGTGATTTTTATTCTTGGTCTGTTGATGTGAT